GTAGGAGAGGGGAGTGATTCTTTCCTTCGAAAAAATATTCTTTGACTTAACGGTGCTGTGGGAAATTTTCTGGTCTTTTGAAATGAGTTTCACGTGTTTAGTAGAGCGCTCAACTGCCACACTGGTGAAACGAAAACACAAATTGAACAAAATAGGAGATAAGACCTCTAATTTGCAAGTGTCTTATCGTTGCCCAGCTGTTCAAATTGTTGCGGGTTTTTTTTAAATTGCAGTTTCTCGTATTTGTTCTTTCTTGAAAAATTTTGCTTTCTGGTCTGGGCCGACGTTGTACGTTTTGGAACCTCCTGAAAGAAGAGATTATGACTTTCATATCTCTAGCTTTACAACAGATCGTTATTTCGTAATGTTCCATTCACAACCACCAGTCAGTCGTTTCGCAATTTTTTGAGTGACGACTAATAAATACTGCCTTTTGTTTTATTAATATCAAGTTGCGACCGCGATGTTGTTTCGTAACTTCTTCTTAGTTACAAACGACTGTCTGTTGCTTTATTAATATCGAGTTACGACCGAGTGTTGTTTCGTAATTTCTTAGTTACGGCTGTCTGAGATACCCTTTGTTGAAGAAGGACGGAGGAGGCTCTAGTTACATGATGCTTGTGTCGCTGAGCCCCCTCGATCCTGTGCCTTATCCCCTTACCCGGCGCTCTCGGATTAACCGTTTCCTCGCACGCGCTCAAGCACGCACGTGCGCACGCACGGCAAGTTCCCGAACGTCGGGTCATCACTCGCTCGCTGCTTGATCACGAGTCCGGTTCTGGGTGGGCGAAAGTGTAGATATTTGTGTGGTATTATATATACATATACACATGTATGTGTATATATTATTCAAAGCTATGCAATGGAATTACTACTTGAAAAGTTATAGGTTGTTAATAAAAGAGATATATACTAAACATGTACTGACCAAGATCAATATTAAATATTGCTATCCAAGCTATGTAATATTCTGACCGAGAGAACTATTTTAGATTGCTATTTTAAGCCATGTAGTGTACTGACTAAA